TAACATGCACAAATACAGAGTAAACAGCAGAGAAGAGACTATTTAATAATAATTTCACACACTCACGCTTGTCAAAAAAAGCATTTTAATGGACATAAACTGACAGTGCGAGATTGCCTGTTAGAATTACATTGCAGCCTGATTCACCACTTCGGCTGCAGCTGTTTCTCAATGCTGGACCAATTTCAAAAACTGTTGTCTTCATCGGTCAATAAGACACAAAAACATGGGAAAATAGGATCCAGGTTAAAAAAAAACCCAAGTTTCCCTTTAAGTACAGGTCGAAATGGAATAAGTTTAACAAAATTATCATTTTCAGGTTGTAACAAGACTCAGCGTAGAAGACGGACAATCAGCCGTCAGGATATTAAAAGTCTTCAAGATGGAGAGGAGCTCTATGAAGCAGTGGGGGATGATCCAGCCTACCTTGAGGTGATGAGAAATTTAGTTTACAAATTGTTGATGTAATTTCTGTCATGAATAAAGTTTTAAATGCAAGCTTATTTTACTTACATGTCCAAGGCACATTTGAGTGAACAGCAGTTGGAGACTCTACGTACCTACAGGCGCACTCAGATGGAGAAGAAGCAGGCTGAACTGCAGGATCGTTACCGGCAAGCTTTAGAAAATGCAGAGAACAGTGAAGGTAGCTGTCCCAAGCGAGACGTTACACCTGTGTGGAGACTCTGCATTGCTGACTCCATGGAGCAACCTGGCAATGGTGTGTCTTTAGTTTACCAGCTGAACCTTTGGCGACCTTCGTCAGATCTTCAGTCTTTACTTAAGGAAGGCTGTCGATACAAAGTCTACAACCTCACCACTTCTGATGGAAAGAAACATGGTGGTAGCACAACTCTTCAGCTGACTGGAACAAAGAAAACACAGTTTCAGGACCTGCAGGTACTGTGGAAACTAAATATCTTGAGCACACTCATTTTTTATTACTATTTGAAAAGTTAGATGATGGAAATCGTGTATGAATACGTATGATTTGTTTTATCATTCAGGCTTCTCGAGAATGGTTATCGACACATTTTCATCCGAGGGTCTCTACCGATTTTGTGGATCTTCAAAACCCAGAATTCCAGCCGCTATGTGGAGAGGTTGATCTCACAGGATATGTCATCACTGTCATAGATGGACAGGGTAGGTGATTTATTTTCTTACAGGGTTCTTATGAATCCATAAGTCTTAAAAGGCATTGAATTTATTAATCTTGTAAAAAGGTCTCAGTCAGTACTAATATATCTTAAATCAGTCTTAAAATAGTCTAAAAACTGCTTAAGACATGGGAAGTAGGATTTTTTTTAGTTTTATTGTAAAATCTAAAATGATTAATAACATTTTGAAATAATTTACCAAATGCCTCTCACATAACCTCACCACATCAGGATAGTGAAACCAACTACATTTCTATTTCGCTTCCTGCCTGGATTCTCCGAGCAGATGATCCACTGTCTATTAGCTACCTGTCACTGTAACCTGGACAACTTGGAGAATTGCAAGAGTTTGGGGTTTGGATGAAGGCAGTACAAGGCAATGCATATGAGGCTTAGTCTATTTTATGGAAAAAGTTTTTCGAACTCGCCATGGTAGTCAAAGAAGTGGAAGTGGCGACACAAACACAAAATTGCCAAGAAAAACCAAACAACAAATGGCAGGTATTTATCAATTCTACCGTGGTCTCTGCCGCACCTGGATGGATAAAAATATTAATTACAAGTGGCATCAAAAAAGTCTTTAAGTCATAAATGTAACTCGCTTTAGCCACCAGTAACATGTCTGAACGGTTTCTGCCGTAACTATATTGTTAATTTAATTATTGTTTGTGCTTTTGAACACAGGTTTGTCTCCTGCATTTTATTTGACCGATGGGAAACTGAACTTCGTTAAAGTGCGCTGTTTCAGCAGCTTTGCTCAGTCTGGCTTGGAAGACCTGGTAAAAGCACGTGTCCTGCTGGCTCTGAGCAACCTGCAGCTGAGAGGCCAGTCCATGTCTCCCACTCCTGTTGTGTACGCTGGAGATCTGACCGTCTTCTCAACAAACCCCAAGGAAGTTCACCTACGGGAATCCCTCAGCCAACTCAGAACCCTGGTCCAGGTAAAATCCTAAACTTATGAAGCAGCTGACATGCTTCTAAAGCAGTGTTTACCACTCAATTAAAGATTCCTTGTCTGTCAAAGGCTGGATGCTTTACAGCAAAAGTGCTATAGTTTCTGAAAAACAATGTGCTGAACAGAATTGGAAATGTATTTCTTCAAAATGTGAGGAGATGGCGATGTTTAAGTCAATGTGGCCTTTGATACGGACCTCTAAGAAGTATTTATACCTTGTCTTCATTTCACACTTACTTTGATCAGCGCTCTATAAAGCACAACTGCAAAACTGAGCACACAGACACAAGATAAACAGTTTAATGATTGAGAGTCAGTGCTGATATAAGAAATGGACTAATAAAGATTGTTTAAAGGGTTTACTGTTCACTGCCCTGAACCACCCAGAGCTTTCTCGTCTTACTTTTCTCCATGTGCTTTGTTAGGATACAATACTATGTTGTAAAATATGAAAATGGTATAACTATAATTTATATCTTGTGTTTTCAGGGTCAGGAGAACTTCTTTACAGTTGCTGAGGAGAAGCTTTCAAATGTAGTCAAATCTGACAGCCTGAGGTCCGTCTCCTCTCCTGCTCTGCAAACACGAACCCCAGCTTCTGCAACAGTCAGAAGACAAGACACAAAAACAAGTGTGAGTTCATGCACTTGCTGTGTTATCTGGGACTGTTTAATAATTGTGCTTTCATAACCACTTCATGATTCAAAAATAAAAACGTGTCCTTTTATGCAGGTGACACCTCAGCAGCCAGTCAGAAGCCTCGGATCCTTCACTCCGGTCAGCAGGAAACAACCTGCAGCAAACAGTTCGACAGAGAAGGAGCACAGCAGCCTGAAGCGGAGGAGAGCTCTGGACTATCTGTCTCGTATCCCATCTCCACCACCTCTCTCCCCGCTGGTGCCAGTGGCTTCTCCGTGTGTAAAAAAAACATTCAACCCCCCTCGGAGGTCCGGGACACTCAGCACTTTAAAAACTGCACCAAAAACTGCACAGACTCCAGCTTGCAAACCTGTCAGTTCACCGCTGGAGGATGAATGGGTGAATGACGAGGAGTTGGCAATGATTGATACTCAGGCATTGCATGTTGGTGATTTACTGTAGATACAAAAGACTGTAAATGTTAAAGTACTGTACAAATGACTGAATGTAAAGGCTGCGTATGGCTTATATGCAGTGGTTGCTTTCAAAGTTTAACTGGACCCATTAAAGAGGTGAAATTACTTGAAACTAGTAAATCACACGGTGATTATGATTTGACAATATGGAATTCGTTGGGCTGGCTTTGGCAAATAAAACCTGTGGAGCAGCACACCACCTGTTACACCTCAAACAGGATAATGCCATGTGATCATACTTCTGCCATCTCTGACAGCCATGTCATATCACTGACGGTTTTCCTTTTCAACCAAGCACGTTAGCACTTAGCCTGCCTTGCTATGGTAAATTTAACAGAGCACGAGCTAGCTTAAGGTAAACATTGACATCTTCTACTGCCCTGAGTGTATTTAAAGAGGAGTGTTGACATCCTCCTGTGGCCACAGCACAGCATGTCAATATTTACAGGACAGTTTATGCTAGTACTTCCTGTAAATGCTTTAAAAATAAAGCCATATTCCAACACAATCAGAAATGCAAACATACATTTTTAAATTTAGTGGTGACAGTTAGAGGTTACAACTCCATATTATTCGGTGGGATGAAATATTCAGTTAAAATGTAAATTTGTGCAAAGGTTCTCCTTTTGAACTTTATTTTTTACAGTGTAAGTTACGGTCATTTGCCCTCTAGTGGTCACGCTTGGATATTGCAACAGTAAGTGTGTAGCAGGCCTCCAGGAAAGCTGCTCAACCTTTTAGCAAATTTTTCCCGATGGCCACTTACAGTATTGCATCAAAAAAAAAATCCTCTGCACCCAGAACAGCATTTTCCCATAGATCACCACTGTAAAAGACATCTCTGTAAAACTGTTGACAGGACAACTCAAACTCCAATGAAGGTAATATATGAATCTTTCTTTACTGAATTTTTGAGCCATGGTGGTTCAATATTTGTAAATATTTCCTTGAGCTGAGAAAAGCAGTTTTAAAATATCTGACGTCATCACAAGTCTGAGCACAGTGGGAACTCGCATGCGGGGCCAGTGGGAGAAACACTACTGCGCATATTCAGTGGGCAGCATAGCACAGAAGTACACCCGGAAGCTAGAAAACATTTTGGTCTGTGCCAGGCGAGCACCTTCATTGGAATGAAAAGGTGCCATCTTGCTGTCTAGTATCTAGTTATTATTAAAATATGTAGCATTGAGGCATACAAGCAACACTTCCAGTTAAACCCTGCAAAATACAGTCAAATACAATTTTTATTACAATTAAGAGCCTCTCGCTTCGGGTTTGGTCCCCCCCCCTTAACTTCAAGTTTGTAGATATGAATAACCGCCCTCTAGTGTTCACAGTGCTATATGTAATAAATCAAGTTGGCTTCAATGACTTACAAGCATGCTATATTTCCTGTGAACACTTTCAAAATGCAGTGACCAAACTAAAACAATCAAAGATAAACTATTTTACCAAAATAATTATGAAATGCTTAAGTTAATTGTTGCCCTCTGTGTTAGAAACTAGTTTTTTGTTTTTTACATAAGTGTCCTAGGAATAAGGTGTTAAAGGTTGAAAGCACCAAAAGTATACCTCTTAAAACTTGCCCAGTTTTACTTAAAATATACTTCATAATCACCATGCCCAAAGGAGAAGTAGGTGTTGTTGACAAAGCAACACTATCATCTTGTGTTTTGTATCAGCTGGTAGTATCTTTGGGAGATGACCGTCTTCTGTCCTCTCCAGTCCAGCTAGCGGCGCTGACGCATCCCTGGCCGTTAATGAGGAAGAGAAGAAGAATAAGGCTTACGTCACTTCCGTAAAAACCAAGGCTACTGTAATGTGGGATTTGTGTGCTGGGTGTCTTTTGTCAATGTCGTTTTTACCGTCATTTATGCATCCTGAACGTATACGGTGAGTGTAGTAACATTTATTCCATGTTAAATATTAAAGTAGTAAATTGTATAACGTAATAGAGTTGTGTTTTCACCGTCGTTTGTGTAACTCGTGAGGTAACATTAGCTAGCGAGTGGCTTAGTTTCGGTTTTAGATCCAGTACACTTGACATGTCTACTTATTTGCTTATATTACTTACTTATTTACTTATTCACTGAAATTGTAACCATAAATTCACGGTAGGAAAAACTGTGTTAATGAAATAACTACACACATGAGGTAATTCTGTGTATTTTTGTGGTTGTGCTATGCATTACCTGTGTTTTCATCTGTGTCCATCCAGATGTCTCATCCTGAATCCTCCTGTACGACCTCACATGACATAGAAAACCCTTTTGTGGGTGAGAATGGAAGAACCGAGGATGGCTCTGTTGACAGAGAGGCTAGCAGCCCAAACGGAAGTGTGAAGGAGCGTGTCTTAAAGGAGGTAGGATTCACCAGCTCCGCATTCATTGGTCCAGCATTTCCTCCAAACTCATCCACAGTCAAGTCTGACTTTGAAGACACACTGAGCGAGTTTTACAAAGAGCTTGAGAAGATTGATACACCCGATGGTGCTCAGGATAACCCAGGGAAACAAAATGCAAGTGTTGTTCAATCACCTCCCAAAACATCTACCAGCAAAGAGACTCAGGATGTGAGCGAGGAGAAAATAGTTCACGCAAGCAAATCTGCAGAAACAGATGGCTACCAGAAAAGCAGTGGGCAGAAACAGTCATCCTGGTCACACTGGTATCAAAATGAACCATACTGCCCAAGAAGACCGAGGCCAGCTGCTCCTACTCAAAATCAGTGGCATTGTCCTCAAACACTAAACAGACCACCAGACCCAAGATTTTACAGACCCCCATTCCATCACCCGCCACCCCCATCTGCATTCCCAAATCCACAAAACCCACCACCACATGTGAATCAAAACAGGAGCAGTTCAGGCGCGACAAACCAATGTAAAGAGGAATCGCATTTTCCAACATTTTCTAGGTTCCCACCTCCGAATGTATGCAGTCCCCCCTCTCAGGGCTTCTATGGAGATCCTCCACATCACTTCAACAGAGAAGAGCAGGGTCATAGCCACAATATACACTCAAATAATGTAAATGTTGGGTGCTCCAGAGCTGGAAAAGAAGAATGGTGTCAGTTTGGTGAAGATAATGACAGGCTCCAGAGATTTGATTCAGAAAGTGAATCGTGGGAGCATCACAGACAACCCACTGATAACAGTAATGCCTACCATTCTTCCTTGGTGCTGATCTTGATGAGGGGATTACCAGGATCTGGGAAGTCAACAATGGCCAGGTATGTCTTTGTGTGATGTTGTGTCTCATTAATTAGTGCATTGTCACTTTAAAGGAGTCTAAAACTCAATTTCTGTTCTGCCTGTATTTATTATTTACATTGTACATTTCTGCCCCATCTCTCACACAGGGAGCTGCTTTCCACTGGTCCCAGTGGGCTCATACTGAGTACTGATGACTACTTTGCTCACAGAGACGGCTACCGCTATGAAGCAGGGCTTCTGGGAGCAGCACATGAATGGAACCAGAAGAGAGGTATTGTCTCCTTAAATGCTCACATGGCTTAAATGGTTCGTAAAAGTTATCACTGTGTCAAGAAGAGTTTTCATCGCATCGTTACAAAGGCATTTCTTTCAAACTTCAATCACTCTTTGCTGTGTTCTCTTAACATTAAGGGTATTTTCAGACATATTTAAAGAGTAATTACAGTGGTCTTTGGTTAAAGTCAAAAAATTGCTAGTTCTGTGTCTCTGCCTGTTGGAAAAATGTCATCTCCACCCACACAATCTATCATTAGGTGCCCTTTTAGCTAATAAAGTGGATGCATTATGAAAGCAACATGTTCTCTTAGATGTATGACAGTTTAGAAAATGTGGTTTGATGAGATTTTTATTTTTGGCCAGAAGTTATTTCAGTCTTTTTGTGTGTGTGTGTGTGTGTGTGTGTGTGTGTGTGTGTGTGTGTTTAATTCTCTTTCAGCTAAAGACGCTATGCATGATGGTCGATCTCCCATCATTATTGATAATACAAACCTTCAGTCTTGGGAAATGAAGCCATATGTCGAAATGGTGGGTATGGGCTTTTACATATAAGTGAGTGCTTAATCATGGTGTACCACACCACCCTCCTAGACCCTAATCAAATTTCAAACTTTCCTAACAGGCCTTGAAGAGAGGATACAGAGTGGACTTTTGTGAACCAGACACACACTGGAAGTTTGATCCTTATGAGCTGGAGAAGTATGATTTCCTAATTGTTATATTGTATTTACATGCCAGTACAGACATACAGAAACTGACATTACCACACTGTACTGTTTCCCCTCCAGGAGGAACAAGCACGGTGTTCCACAGGACAAGATCACACAGATGATGGATCGTTTTTCATTTCCCATATCTGTAGACATTGTCATGAGGTCACAAGAGCCGCCTCACATAAACCAGAGACGTCGACCAGACCAGCCACAGATGATGAGGAGAAAACAGGATTTCCATTAGTTTTCCACAGAAATTTAACAAGCCAAATGAAGAACCACACTTTTGTAATGTTGTTAATATTGTTGCCTGCTCTTTTTACAGGATTTTTTTAATTAATTATTTTGTTTGCTGTAAATTTATATAAAGAAAGAAGAAATCTATTTTTTTCTGAAGAAGTTTTCATAGTTAAATAAAGTTAAATTTGCACAAATAACATCTTTTGTAGGAATGAAAATCTGAATCATTTTTGCATTTTGTGTTTAATGACTGGTATTTCACACTTGTCCTTTTGCAGTTTGTCTGTTTTCTACAATATTATATATGCAACAACATGAAAAACCAAAAGGTTGTCCTCATCGGCTTCATGTTGTTTTCCTTTCTTTGGTTAGTTGCTAAAATAGTTTTTCAGTGTGTTCAGATTTGCTGAAATCAGTAGTGCAACTGCTGTAATTTTCTATTCCAATGGGACTGTGTCTGAGTTCTTTAATTCAAAGGGTAAGTTCACACATTTTCAAGTCCGTCATAAACAATACTCAGGTGTGCCTGAAAGAAGTTTGGCTTGCTCTAATCATTCCTCCTGTTCATACTAGACATTAAGAGCTCCATTTCTGACGGGGGACAACATCCACAGCCGTCATTTTGTGCAATAAATGTATTTCAATGTTTATCTGAAGCTTATATGAGGCTGCAGCAGTCAATTTGTCAAATCAAATTAGACGAATCAAATGAATATCCTAAATATAAAAAAGAAACTAGTTGCTTTAACTCAAAAAGCTAGTGTTCAGCCTGCCATAACATTTTAAGTTAAATGAATTTGAGAAGACAAGTTTGGCTAATTTTGTAATTACTCAAAACAGATAAACTTTTGCTGTCAAACTTGATTATTTATTCAGTTGTATTTAAATCCTTATAATTTGCTTTATTTGTTTGGAATCATTGCAAAATTACCTCGGCTTGTCTTCTCAAATTCAGTCAACTTCAAATTCTAAGGCAGCCTGGACATTGTCTTACTAAGTGAAAGCAGCTAGTTTCTTTTTACAGTGTTCCAAACTAACAGTATTTTTAGCATAACATTCACTCCTGAAAGTCAAAGAGAAGCAGTGGTAAATATATCAGTTTTACAAAATATTTATTCACTGTTGAATTTTGGAAAACATTTCTCACAAGACCTGTGAAAGCAGAGTAACCCCACGGCACCTGCATTAAATTACTGTGGAAAATGAATGCACTGAGGCCTTATCACAGTAAAAGCTCAACAGCAGGATAGCAATGAGTGTGAAGAGGTTTGTGGAGACCTATCCCATTTCCCAATGTGTAACTGTTCTATTACCCTCCTAGGCTCAACTCATTGAGTCCTAGGCCCACCCACAGGACATGCAAGCGGAGGAGTCATGACAACATGGATTGAACAAAATGAGACATCCTCGCTTTAGAGCCATCATCTTAAAGTGATGTCAGTTGTCGTGGGGCATGGCCACATTAGCTGTCCATTGTTTTGTTACAGCCTACTGCTGTATTCATGTTCTCTGAGCATATTTACTTTTAATTCAATTAGCAATGAGGCAAAGTGTGACAAGAGTGTGGAATGTCACACTTTTTTTATTTTACACATGCATGCACACACGCATTCTCAGCAGGTGTGTGAAATAATAAATAGGCCTACGTGTTGCCATTTGACCAAAACAGAAGAAGTTTAAATGTTAATTTATTTAAAGCCAGCCACAGTACTTTAATGTAATATGTTAACAAATCATCGCTGAGTAATAAGATTGAGTTTATTTAATATGGCTGCGATCACTGCAGAAGCATTAAAGAGAGATGCTGCTTCTCACATTGCATGGAGGGTTTCATCCCAAGTCCAGCACCCTGAGACTGTACACTAAGCAGAACAAGGGAGACCGAGGACTTGTGAGCATCAGAGCCACTGTCCAGGACGATACAGCCAAGATCCAGGAATACCTCAGGCAGCAGAAACCCGAGAATGCAGAACAGGAGGATGAACCATCATGGAAGGACAAGCCCATGCATGGCATGTACTACTGACAGATTGAAGAAGTGGCTGACATTAAGAAATCCTACCAGTGGCTGGAAAAGGCTGGACTGAAAGACAGCACAGAAGCACTAACCATGGCAACACAGGAACAGGCACTTATTACAAAATCAATAGAAGCAGAGGTCTATCACAGCAGACAGGTGCAGGCGATGCAAAGATGCTCCTGAGACAGTTCAGCACATAATCACAGGGTGTAAGATGCAGGCAGGGACAGCATACATGGAACGCCATAAGCAAGTGGCTGGCATAGTGTACAGGAACATCTGCACTGAATATTGGCAGGAAGTCCCAAGGTCAGAATGGGAGACACCTCCTAAGGTGGTTGAGAATGACCGAGCTAAGATCCTGTGGGACTTCCAGATCCAGATGTAGAGATATATATATATATGCATAT